CCACAGGTACTCCTCCCGTTGCTTGCCTTAACTGTAGGCGTGGCTAGTTACCGTAGTTAAGAAGGCTCGGAGGTGCTACTAATATGTTTATCGTTCGATGACCGTTTATGAAAGAACGATTTGGTGGCCACCGACCGATCAGTTTCATTCGGCTTCAGTCGGTGGTATCAGTATTCATTCTTCACTTGTTACCAACTAGTGTTCGGAACCGCAATATTTTTTGCAGTGGCCCCCGATCGAGCGCCCTGTCGGTGGTCACTGATAGGCAAATTTTGAGCATCGGTCGGTCTGAACCGGTGGTGATCGAAGTTCAGTTTGCCAAGGCCACCGATCGAAAAGTCCTTTTCGGTTGCGGTCGCGGACCACCGATTTTCGAGGGTTCCTCGAACCAACTCTATGTATGAGGTGTCATTGAGAAGAGAAATAAATTTTTTGCATGGAGAGAAGATTCGCAACAAGAATCAGCTCAGTTCTTGAGCAGTGGAAATTTGACCATGTAAGTCTCAACAAGATATTGCTGATGTGAGCAGCTGAACTCCATGTAGTGCCGGAACAGAACCTTGCACAGCCAATGCCCAATATTCATTGTAGAGAGGATTCAATTCTCTACAAACCATGAGATTTACTGGGAAAATGCTCCGGTGGTTTTCGAAAGTGTAACTCAAAATGGACACTTACTATGGAAAGTATTGCTGCTGCGAACGATGGAAACGGTGCATCTTTGCAAGGAAATACTGTCAGAACAAACAAGCTCGCTCCATGATGATCTCAAAGCGTTCATTAAACATGAAGTTTCGAGCAGACGCCTTCACCACGTCATATTCCATCATGTGGGATTGAATTTGAAATTGGAGTGAGCATTGAAGCCTTCAAGAAAAGCTGAACTCAAAGTAAAACCCTGTGCAGGCAACCGTAACAAAGAACTTAGAGCACGTACCGGATGACGAGTCGGGTGTCTTCGAACAGCTCCGTCTATAATCCAATGTAACTGGCTCAATTAATCTTACCCAAATCAACAGTTCACATCCGCTTCCATACAAATCATGCCAAAAAATTTGTTCTCCCTGTTGTTCCACAGTTCCATCTTCTGTTCTCACATTTCGTCAACCTCTTTGACATTATAATCTGCGCTAATTGATATTCCAAATTCAAACATTTTTTCCACTGTTCTCCTTACATTTTCTACTATTCTTAAGGCAATTTGCATCTCTTCACAGTCACACTTACGTAACCTCTCTCCCATTCAAATATCAAATGACGCCACAAGCAATTTCACTTCCTTTATGGTCGTAAATCTCTTTCTTGCTCCAGTCTAATACCTGTTATCCAGTTTCTGGCTTCGTCAACGCGATTTGCAAAGTACTAAACTGATGTGATCAAACGAAGTAATACCGAAAAATGGTGAAATTCTCATCCAAACATTCCGAATGATTACCCAAAAAAATCACGAACAAAAATTCTCCAGGAGCACAACAATGCAGAGCGTGATAGCCAATACAAAATGTGGTATGAGAATAATTTATTATCATTACTGCTATTCAACAAAACAATATAACAATTCTGTTACAGTTCAATTTTTTAATAAACTCAACAACAATTATTAATAAAAATCTTGACAACAATATATGTTAACAACGAGTTCAACAACAGGCTCAAAACCCGACAACACGTTAGGTAGGAGACTCTACTAACGATAAGGTATGAAACTCATCTATAAAATTTTTTCGAAAAGTTATCTGGTTGAAGTGAATCCACAGAATTTCTTCTCGAACAGTGAAATTTATTCACCCAACAAGGATGAAGTGATAACGCTAGGCAAATGCACTGAACAGAAAGCAAAAGATTACTTAAACGTTCAAAGTTTTCAGAATTATGAGCTTATAATACAATTAACACTGGATATAGGCACGAACAATTCATTTTCAATTATTTGTATAACAGTTTGAGATATTCAACGAAAGTGTTCTGTTGCTACGTTCTTGACGTGAGCCATAATCCCCATGGTGTTATACTGGTTTACCACGACTTTGACGACGATTCACAACTCGTTCGCTTCTTTTTTCACTTCTTCGTTTCCGAGATTTTTGCTGAAATTTTCGAATCGTTCAAAAACTCGATCAATCGATAACGACTTACGAGTTAAGTGGCTTAAAAGCGATATGACCGGCTGCATCGATTATTAGCGTAATGCTACGCATCAATGGAACATGAACCGCACAATTCTGTTACAGTTCAATAAAATTTTTACCATTATGAAAACTTAAAACAAAAAATTCTATTCGAGTCGAACGCATAAACGTTACACAAATATCGACTGAACGATTTCGAAGATGAACTAAATTCGGAATGAATTCCAAATGAGGAATAAACAAATGATTCGAGAGTGAAATGAAAAAAAGATCTAACCATTTCAGCTCTTCTTGCCGATGAACTCATTTTTTTCCAATTATTTCTGCGAGCAGTCATCTTTTGCTTTCGATCATCCGCCTTCAGCCTCTTATCAACAACCTTCAAAAATTTCCTTTCATTACCACTATTCATAATTGATAACATCAGCGTTTGACACAACACAACAATAAAGAATACACATAATCCACTCGCTAATTCTGAACAACAAATGTGAACTCAGGATGAACATGATAATAAATGATTAAATCAAGTACTCTTAACAGATTTAATCTTCTGTTCTTTCAAAGCAATTCATTGGTAATATATTTAGTCTTATTTGAACGTTTGATCAAACAAGTCTATAGATAAGTTACTGTATCAAGCAAATATCCACCTTATAAGGTCCACCAGGCCTGCTCAGCTTGCCTCGTTTACCCTTTGTCATCACCTGATACGCCACTTCTTTCTTTTCTTTCACCTGTGTTTTACGATAAATTCTAAAAAAAAAATTGACAATTACTCCTTTGATAACGATAATAATAATAATCACAACAACAATAATAATAATCACAACAACATAACGATTGACGTGAAGATGAACGTTATTAGTGCAGAACTACAGGTAAATATTCCAATAAATTCACTTCAAACTAAAAAAAC